TTCCCTTCTTTCATACATTCCCTTCAGAAACAGTGGCGCGTAAGACGTATTTATACGGCGTAAACAGTCAAAGTGTTAAAAAATAATTTACTAATAAAATTATATTTGTAATCTCTAGAAATGAAGGGCTATCATTCACTGTTAACCCTTTCATTATCCAGACCCCTGAAATTAATATTGCTCTCAGTGTCCACTTTTTTTCTGAAATGGTAGAGAATCTTCTTCCGAAGGTAATGGCACCAAATGTACTAAATTTGATGTAAACTCACGAATTACGCAGCCACATGGTGCAATTTACACTCGCGATTTTCCCCAGTTCCACTGCCTTCCATTCTATCGACTGAGAACAAGAAACCACCCATTCCACTATTTTAACTATAAAGTACACAGAAATCTGTAATTTGGCCAGTTTTACAAAAAAAAATTCCAATTTGAAAACAGAGTCCAAATAAACAATGTACACATTTCTGGCAATAAAACATTTCCTCTCTTCATTAACCCTTTGACTATCGCGGCCGTATATATACGTCTTACGAGGTACCGTGTTTGACGTATATATACTCATAAATTCTAGCGGCTTCAAATCAAGCAGGAGAAAGCTGGTAGGCCACACATGTGAGAGAATGGGTCTGTGTGGTCAGTGTGCACCGTATAAAAAAAATCCTGGAGCACGCAGTGCATAATGAGAAAAAAAAAACCGACCGTTTTTTTTAATTAAAATGCCGACTTTGTGGTCTATTTTCGTATAGTATTTAAGTTGTATTCTCGTTTTCTTGGTCTCATTTGATAGAATGGAAAACATATTATAGAAATAGAGGTGATTTTGATTGATTTTACTATAAAAAGAACCTAGAAATGGAGCTCAAAGTAGGGGAAATGTTTGATTTTTGCCAATGTTCAAAAGTAAACAAATGATGCCATTGTCCAATAAATGTCCAACTAGCCATTCTAATATGCAGTCATGAATGGGTTGATGTTATTTACACAATTATTACAGAATTGCAGTAGTCTGCATAATAGTAAGTCTTCTATTTTTTGTTTGAATAAAAATTCAAAATAGAAAGCAAGAGTAATAACAGAGGGGCCTGGAGACATGACTGATGAGCAAAGAAAATGTTATTTTAGAGCCAGGAATGTCTGCATTGTTCATTTTGAACCTTATTTTGAAATTGTCATATTTTTTAGTTTCCGTGAAATTCGCCAAATTGCAAATTTCTGACCACATTATTAGGTAGTTGAAATCAGTAAATGGGCAGTTTCTTGTACTCAATCGATAGAAAAAATGGAGTTCTAAAGATATAGCTATAAGTTTGGGCAACTGGAACAATGGAATTAGCTGAAAATAGGGCTCAAAGTGGGCGAAATCGCTGATTTATAAACAGCGCCGAGGTCGCTAACTTCGCAAGAGCATAATTCCGTCAGTTTTCCATCAAATTTCGTTTTTTTGGTGTCATTACAATCGGGAAACGATTCTCTATCATTTCATAAGAATTTTTTTTTTTTTTTTTTTAAATTTTGCGACACCAGGAGACACCTCAGGATTGGGTGTTGCGACAGTCAAAGGGTTAATCATGGCCCTAGGTCTCTCCTATATAACACCTGCCTTCCATTTTAAATTCATTACCACAAAAAAATGAAGATTTACTTTATTTCTTGGATAATAAAATATAACCAGGAATGATTGGTCGTGGTTTATGGTATCACATTAATTTAATCAGACCTATTAAAAATCCATAAAAAAGCTTGAGGGGTGTATGGAGTCTTACACATCCTCAGGAAAACTTGCAAAAATAGAATATTTCCACTACTTCCAGTCCTGAAACCCATTAAAATCATCTCTATTTTGGTATATCTTCCATTCTGTAAGTGATACCAAGAAATAGCCAATAAAACCATAAACACCATTCCAGAAAACACATCAATATTACTACATATTATGAAATTTCCTTTGATAATTACATAATCTTTAAAAATCCTTTCAGCTGCGAAATGCAATTCAAAGCCACATATCAAGTTCTTTGGAATAACCTTTCCCATGACTCCTATTTATGGAACATTGTTGATTTGTCACATGTTGTATTAGGTATCCCCAAAAGGGTACTTTTAAGAGGCTGCCTTAATTTTTATCCCTTTGTTCTTTTTTACTTTTTCCAACTTTCCGATTTTGTTTCACTCCTAACTCAAGAATGCCTCATCTACTTTGCTTCAAATTTTCAACACTTATGTATGGTAACGAGGATCAGATTCTTGAAACAATCAGCATGTTCACATGTCCTATGTCAGAGTTCTTGAACCCCAAAATCCTTAGTATTGTAGCTTTATTCAAAAAAATGTGCCAAAAAATTTGACGAAGGCATAAAATGTAATTTCTGGAAGATTTTGTTTGTAAAACAGTGTGAAATTTTTATTCCCGTTAAATCACGGTTATTAATTTTTAGATTGCGTCTTCTGAACAGTTTCAATATTTAATGGCTGATGCATCTTAGGACCAAGATAGTACCTATTAAATTTTGTTTGCATGCAGTCAAATTTGTTGATGTAATAAAAAATTAAAAAAAAAAAAAATCAATGGAACCCATGCCATAAAACTGGAGAATAACGTACCCGATTGGCATCAAATTTTCATCACTGGTGTGGTTTCCTAAACACAAATCTCAGGCTGTAATTGGGAGGCATAAGTTCCAATTTCTCAATTTTACTGGATATATACAGTGAAGTTAATCATTTACTCAATAACTAAAGAATGCGTCTTCTGATTGGCTTCAAAATATTTTTGACGATACATTTTATAAAAAGACTCACGAAATCGTAATGACACGATTGTAAACAAATCATTCCACGGGCAGGGATTAAACTCATGGCAAGTGAGTCTTAAAACTCCAGGCCAGTGCATAAGGGATGGAATTGTTGAAATCAGATCAATCACTGGAGGATGTCTTTCCTGCATAGCTTCAAACCTTCTCATTGGTGGGCTTTATATAAAAAACAAGCCTTGTCACTCACTCTGAGCTATGTACATTTCAATTTGTCAATTTTATTAATCTTTTCACTGTCTCTTACATAGATATACGTCATTAATGCAGGGATCACTAATGTAAATCTATGTTTTGAGCTCAGCTCTCTCGGATATGCTGCGAGTGGTAAATTTTGGGGCTAGAGATGAGAGAATTGGTCCATGCAGCAAGTGCGCATGAATAAAAAAAAAACCTGCACCAGCCACACAGTGCCTGATGGGAAAAGCAAACCTCTGACCTTGTGTTTGGTGTAAAAAATGAGTATACAAAACCCCTTGAAGCACAGTGTCAAGACAAAGTGGCGCTAAATTGCTGATGGTGCAGTTACTCAACATTGCTGCACCATCAGGACTGCCCCCAGTGAGCCTTGGCATGTTTTCTATTTGTTCTCACTGTTCCACACATACAAGCATGATTGTCTCTATCTGTGTCTACCTTTATCTGCCTCTCTCTGTACCAGATGAAGTTAATGTGGATAAGTATAAGGTACTATTCCGTGGGAATGAGAGGAGTGGTGTTAGGAGGCAATAACTTCACTGTTATAAAACTTAACTCCACAGACAACTGGTCTACCAAGTCTGGAGGATGAGCAGGAGTACTGTCCAGTACCAGGAGGTACTTAAGTGGCAATTTATTTTCCTGTAGGTATTTTTTCACACTCGGGCCAAACACTTCATGGACCCAGTCAATGAAAATTTGCCTTGCTACCCATGCCTTATTATTAGCTTTCCACATCACACACAATTTACTCTTGACGACATTGTTTTTCTTGAACACAGTGATACACCAGTAAAGGCTTCACTTTGAAATCCCCACTAGCATTACCACACAACAAAAGAGTAAGCCTATCCTTCATAGGCTTGTGTCCTGGCAGTGCCTTTTCCTCCTGCGTGATGTAGGTCCTCTTTGGTATTTTCTTCCAAAAGAGGCCTGTTTCGTCAATACTGAACACCTGCTGGGGGACGAATCCTTCAGTTTCTACGTACTCCTTGAATTCATGCACAAATTCTTCAGCTGCACCTTTGTCTGAACTTGCAGTCTCGCCATGCCTTACACACTGTGCATGCCACTACGCTTCTTAAATCTCTCAAACCAGCCATTGCTGGCCATAAATTCACTAACAGCAGCACTCGTTGCTTGCATTTTCTTTAGGAGATCCGCATACAACTGCCTTGCCTTTTCCCAAGTGATCGATTCCATAACACTATCTCCTGCTAATTGTTTATCACTGATCCACACCAACAATAACTTCTCCACATCTTCAATTACTGGTGATCATTGCTTTGTTAGCATATTTACCCCTTTCACAACATTAGCTTCCTTGATTTCTACTTTCTTTGCCAGGATCGAAGTGACTGTTGATTTGGATTTTCCATACATCCTGGCAAGCTCCAGGACACGTACACCACTCTCGTACTTTGCTACAATTTCTTTCCTGAATTCTATTGTGCTTCTCACTTTCTTTACCATAGGGTTGGCACTAGGAACTTTCTTTGGGCATATGGTGGCTTATTTCGCACTTGCACTCAATAAATAACCACAAAAAACAATGGATTATAACGAAATGTTTAGATGAATGCAAGGAGCCTTGTTCACTCACCCAGACATGGCAAGATTCACGAACGTGGCAGAGTGGCAGACGGACAGATCCAATACGGCCGATTTCCAAGTTGCCGGCAAAAATCCAGGATAGAATTTTGGCCAAAAAAGCAACCGAAATCCGAATTGGCCGATATCCGGAATGGCCGATATCTGACGGCCCACTGTACACAGTGTTAAGACCCATTCTATACTGCCTAGGCCTATCAGGTCTCTAATGAGAAATTTGAAGGAAAAATAAAACGATCTACATTTGGAGTGCTAGCAGTACAAACGCAGATCTATGTTTGGACAGTTTAAGGGTTAATTTCATGGCTCTGACAGTGAAGGGGGTTAGCATCTTAAATCCTTGTCTATGATTAAAGAGAATTTTCCTAGGATACATACCTTTTACACTTTGTACACTGAGCCATGTTTTTCTGGGCTATTGCCCGATATGCCTTCTGACAAATTGGGCAGGCAAGCCCTTTATTGCGAAGCTGGTAACAGGAATCACACACGGTGAAGTTAGAATGCCATCGTGATGACAAGCCATTGCCTGGTGTTCGAGAACCACAGTCCCCACAAGCACGACATGTCTGTTGGTGAAATAAATAATAAGTTTTTTAGATTTTCAGATGCATTATATTTCGTGTACAGTATTTACCTATTTGTGGTACAGTAAAAAGGAATAAACCAGGCTTAGTGCATCATCTCCTTCATGTACTCTCTCATAATACCTTCAAAAACTTTAAATAGATGTAGTACACATACAGCCTCTAATAATTTATTTCAGTAATCAATTCTGTTTCTAAAGAAGAATTTACAAAATCTTTGTTACACACTTTTAAACATGAAATTAAAACTTCACATCCATTATATCACTTTAATGAAAAGCTTGCAAGATTAAAGGTCACAATGCCATAGCATAAACAATTCATACATAACCCACAATTAGGAGAGGAAATCTAGATGTAATCTAAGCATCTTCTAAGTGTTCGTTACAGGTTTCCTTTGTTGTTAATACAGTTATACAATATCATCATATCTTCTATCTCACTTCTCTTTCACCATCAGTACTATACAGTGTGTATACCCAAGGTTTGATGCTGCCATTGTAGCACCAATTTCATAATTTGACATTGTATTTGATTAAGTTACTCAATGCAAGTTGTTTCTTTACACGTGGGCTACAGAGTAAAGACATATACGTCATTACCTAGTTGTAATTACCAATATGCACAGTAGCCTCCACAAAAAAAACAGTTTGAGTAAACAAATCCAACAAAACACGCATTATAGAACAAACTCACTGTAAAACCTTCACTCCATTTTTTCAAATTTCCATTTTAATCCTTTATGAAGAGCTCTTATTGAAAGCCTGTTTAAAATTAGATACAATTAACATAACTTTTACATTTTAGCAAGTGAAATACAGAGTACAGTATCATATTGGTTTCAAAACTAGGCACAACATGTTCTTTTTCTTGTTTTGTTTAATTCACATTTTTGTAATTCTAAAAAATATCAACCACACTTATTAACATGACAAGCTCATAATTTAAGGGCTATCTTAAATACCACTTTTAATATTAGTAAAATGTTTTACTTTTACAGTAGAACTTCTGTATTTCGAATTAACTAGTTCCTCAGTGTTCTGAATGTTGAATTCTCAATATTGGATCAATTTTTTCCATAGGAAATAATGAAAATTGGATTAATTCATTCCAGACCCTGAAAGTTGCTCTTCACAAACCATTTTTACATCAGAATATTGGTTAATTAAACTTGCAAAATAATATGTACAAGCAAGAAATCATACATGAACCCTGCTGCCACATTAGCACTTTTTTACTGGACCTTTATTTTTTATAAAAACAATACGGTAGATGTTTACATGCCATATTCCTTGGCTAGGTCAACAAGACCTATTCCATTTTTATGTGTTGAAATAAGTTCCTTTTTTAGTTCATTGATGGCTCTTACAGCTTTCCTTTTAGGTTTATTTTCTTCACTACTCTTATTCAGGGCCATGAGCACTTATTTTCAATAATAAAATAAAAATAATACAAAGTTATACAAAAACTAACAACTGAATCACAAGAGCTCAAAAAGCATGCATCGTTCTGAATATTATAGTGACATTTGCAAATATTGGTACTTTTTTCCCATCAAAATTTTTTCTGAATACTTGATTTTACAAATAAAAGTGCATCTAAATATAAAGGTTCTACTGTATTGTGCCCTCTCTTGGTGAGGTATAAAAGTTAACTACAGCAAGTAACCAAGTTCCTCAGCACAGTAAACCAAAATATATGCCATCTAAACCTATTGCATTTTTATCAATGTAAATGGTCTAAGTCGGACCAAAATGTCGTCGTAAGTTTCTCTCTTTTATGTGCAGGTTATTTGTGTATTATCAATGTCCCTTAATAATTCCTCAACTTTTCTAGTAATTTCAGGACTATTAGTTTCAGTTGGCAGTTATTGACACAAAATGTTCTTAAAACAACTTTCTTCTGAACAGACTCAGAAATTAAATACTGTACCCAGTACTTCACCCATTTCCTATTCTTAAATTACTGACAAACACAGTTCAGGCAAATGAAAAAAAAAAATAACTGGAAGTAATCCACATCAGTGAATTTGTGTGTTGCAGGGTAATCTGAATTCCAGAATTAGAATCATCAGTCAAATGAATGATGGTTGTGGTGGCATGCCATGCAGTGATGTAGCCCTTTGTTGTGGCTGTGTTGGCAGAATAGTGACAACAGGATATGTGGTATAAAGGTCAAAAATATGCTGTTATATCATCAATGTCACAATAATCCTGTAAATCAGTACTAGTATCAGCTTGGGACAGAGCTGTTCTGTTCCAACAGGCTAGGTGGACACTACTGTGTGTGTATGTCTACCTACAATGCTAGTGGCACACACTTGATAGTACAGTTTATGAAATATTTCACTACAATCTGGGATTATAAAAAAAAAGTCATTAAATGAGCAGCAATTATAGTTTTTTTTTTTTACTTCTTAGAACTGTCAAACTTTTGGCAAGAAAGAGTGAGGGTCACCTACTACAATGCGCATACTTAACATCACCTGTATACCACTAATTAACAATGCCTATACAGTGGACCCCCGCTTTACGATCAGCTCCCAATGCAACCAATTATGTAAGTGTATTTATGTAAGTGCGTTTGTACGTGAATGTTTGGGGGTCTGAAATTGACTAATCTAATTCACAATATACATTATGGGAACAAATTCGTTCAGTACTGGCACCTGAACATACTTCTAGAATGAAATAATATCGCAAACCGGGGGTCCACTGTATCTCTAAAATAAGGACTAAAGTAAACTTTCAGCAAATATACACCGAGAAATACACACCTCTTAAGTGTGAGAGATAAAGAAAAATCTTATAAAACATGTAATACTGTGTAAGAAATATTTTTTTTATTTTACTTATAAGCCCTCAATTGAAATAAGGCCGCTTAAAGTTACTTTCACAGAACCTTTGAGCTAATTTGTCAAAAAAAAGAGAAGTTTCTTCCAGAATTATAGAAAACAAAAAAGTTTATAAACAGCAAACCTGCATACAAGACACTTGTACAGTAGGTTTCCATGATAACACAGCTGAGAAACTGCAGCACAAATTTGTAAGGCATGCCATTAAACTTGTACAAGATGCTGTAAATTTAGAGGAAACAATACCACACCACAGGATCTTTCCTGTCCACCTTCTGGCCAGTCTACAGTCATGACCACTGCCTTGATGGAGGGAGGCCTTCCATGCTGTCAGTTTTATGTGCATGCAAGTCCCATATATGTACTCAGTTGTGTGTTAGCAAATCAATCTGTATCCTTTCATGTACCAATCCTGGCTCTGGGTAGTAACTATGGCACCCACTACATAGAAAACAAGGCAGAAAACAGACGAGGATGAGGAGGAAGGACTTGCAGAAAAAGTTAACACTAACAGTTACATGAGCAATTCCATATTATTCGTATAGTTGCAGGCTTTATCACTAAAGAGAATCCAGGAACATCTAGAAGCACTGCTCTGAAGCTGGGTCTAGAGAAGTTCATAATGATGACTTATTATCAGCTGAATAAAATTTTTCAGGTTAAGAGACCAAAGATGCATTACAGAATACTTGAGCACTTCAGTACAGCCATCATCTAGGGCTGAGTCTGCTTCAACATCACACCAACAACCTCAGCCATCCACCTCACCCTATGATCCACAACCTTACATCTTGACCCAGAAAGGCCAAACCCTTCCAAGCTTCTCATGATCATCAACATGCACCAGCAACCAGGATTTTGGGTAAGAAAACATTAATTTATGCACAGTAAACTGTCAGTTAACACGCAATCTGTTAATACATTTTTGCCTTAACACAATTGCAAACTTACACTTTTGGTGAACATGTCATAATAATCAGTTCACATAACACAGAACATGTAGGAAAAAATGTATAACATACTGGGGTTTCCCCTCCATCTTGCAGCGAGCCTTAACCCTTTCAGTGGCAATCATGTAAAACTATGTCAATGAGGCCAAGGGTCCCTCGTGTAGTTCTATGTCAAGAGCTCAGCTCACTCAAAAGCTCCGAGTGGTAAATTTTGGCCTACATATGAGAGAATAGGTCTGTGTAGTGAGTAAATATCTTTGATGAGTTCTGAGAGTTTTTCCTCTCCCAGAGCTTGGCCTTGGGCCAGGCTTGTTTGGTGCTTGACTGATCAACCAAGTTATTGCTGCTGGTGGCCCACTGGCCCACATATTTAACACAGCCTGATTGATCTGGCACCTGGTGAAGATACTTGTCCAGTTTCCAAAGTATAAAAAAAAAATCTTGCCCCTAACAGTGCATGATTGAAAAAGCAAAACTGGGCATAGTGTTTAGAGTAGCGACTCTGAGGTGTTCTCTGTGGTTTTTATGACTTTATTGGCAGTTTCTTGGTATCATTTAATACAATGGAAGACATACTACTGAAACAGAGATGACTTTGGTTTGTTTCAGAACTGGAAGTAGCTTGAAATTGGGCTCAAAGTAGTGGCTACTTCCCTACTCCACCCCCCTACCCTACCCCAATCTGATTTATAGGTTTCTAATAGGTCTGATGCAACTGGGCCACACAAATCATAACCATAACCAATCATTCCTGGTTATAGATTTTTTGTGCTGATGAATTTCAAACTGAAGGCAAGGGTAATATAGGAGATGCCTGGGGATGCGATTAGCGAACAGCGCAAATGTTTTAGTGCCTGGAATGTCTACAGTGTTTAGTCTGGATTCTGTATTTGAATTGGATTTTTTAATCTTGCATAAAATTGGCTAAATTATCAACTTCTCTGCACTTTATAGGGTAGTTATGATACTTGAATGGGTAGTTTTTGTACTCAAACAATAGAACAGAAAGAATACTAGTGATATAACTAATGGAATTGGCTTAAAATAGGACTCTTATGTTTATGTCAATGAGGGCCTTACAAAGAAAATATAAAACCCTCTATTGACTAAGAAAACTACACTGGAAGAAAAATACACCAGTGCTTTGCAATAGCAGGTACAATTGAAGTAAAAATATC